CTGCGCGCAGCGGGGCGGCCCCGCGGCCGCGCCGGAGGAGGGGGCGAGCGAGCGCTCCGCGGGCGGCAGGGGAGCGGCGGCACCAAAAAACTGCAGCCGGCAGCGCGGCACGCAAATCAGGAGGGAGCAGCGAACATCACACCAGAGCCGCCTGGTTTCTGATTGCTCCGCGGCAGAGGGGGAGAGACAGAGACTGACTGAGAGGGGCGAGCGGCAGAGCCGGGCACGGCGGCGGAGGGTCGGGGATGCCGCCCCGCAAGTTTCCTTGATGCATTCGGGAGCGTGAGGAGGAGTCGCCGACCCTTCTCGCCCTCGCTGCGCTCCACCTGGGGAACCTGAAGCCCCTCGGCGCTGCCTCCGGCCGGGGATGCGGGGCATCGTGCGGCGCGGCCGGGGGAGGAGGCTGCTGCCGCGCAGGAGGCTGCTGAGGCTGCCAGGAGCGCTCCTGCGGGGCTGAAGGTGCCACCGGACCGAGCCGGCGGAGGGAGCGGGGCGCGACCCCCCCCCCCCCCCCCCCCCCCCCCCCCCGCCGCCGCCACCGCCTGGAAGTTGCCGGAGCTCTCCCCGTGCCCAGCGCCGCCGCCCCTCGCGGCAGGGCGGCAGCGGGGGTCCCGGCGCCCCCGCCCGCCCTCGCCCTCCGTGCTGCCGCCGTGCCCCGGGAGCCCGGCGGTGGATGAGCCCGGCCCGCCCCGCCGGCCTGAGGGGGCACGGGCAGCCTCGGCGGGCCGAGGTCGCGGGGCGCTCGGCGGGCACCAGCCATGGGGTGTAGTGAGGTGAGGGCACTGCTCTGGAGAGTCGGCCTCCTCCTCCCCCTGCTGACAGCGCGCCCCGCCGCCGCCGGGCACGTCGCCAGCAACCACGGTGAGTGAGGGCGGCCGCGGGCGCGCTGCGGGGCCGGTCGCCCGCAACTTTCCGGCGGGCGAGGGCTGTGAGGGGATGGATGGAGGGAGGGGTCCGCACCTGCGGCCGCCAGCTCGGCCTCTCCCGGCCGGGGACCGTGCGCCTCCCGGCGGTCACCCCTTCCTGCCGCCCCCAAAAGTTGGGGGTTTGCGGCCGGGGGAGCAGCGGGGCTCCGCTGCCGTCCCCGCCGGGGGTAACTCCGCGGCTGCCGGGAGCTGTCCGCTGTCGCCCCGGGCACCCTCGGCCGCCGCGGTGTGGGAGTGAGGGCAGGGAAGCGAAAGTTGCCTCCCGGCGAGGTGGAGCGGCAGCATCGTTTTGTTTGAAGTGTGGGTTTAAGGTTTGCTTCGGTCCTGCCGAACGCAGATCCCACAGAATGGGTTTGAGAGGGCTCATCGCGCCTTATGGGGAATTGCTGCTGGTGAGCGAGCTGTTCAAAGGTGCCTGGCTGCCCTTAACACCTCATTTCTGCATGCTCCGGGCTGGTTGTCTGAAAAACACCCATTTAAAATCTTTGTAACAGGTGCATGCTCATCAGGTCGCACTGAAGACGGGGTTTTAATTCTTCGGGTTGTAAGGTGTGCGTTTTAGAAAATTACCTCTGGATTAAGAAGGGAATCGTCCTGTTCATAGGAATAAAAAATGCACAGCACGCCCAGAGGATACAATATTTTGTTAGGAGGAACTAAAAAAAAGAGCCCGGACCCGATTATGAAACATCATGTTACATGTTACCAAGCATCTGGATAGAGCAGAGAATTTCCTGAACTGCTTGTTTTATGTACATCTGTCTATTTAAGTTGCAGAGGATGCATCTATTCCCACAGTATGAGAGGCTTCTGTACCTTTAACATTATTTTTGTACAATTTGACTTTTTTTTTTTTTTTTAGGTTTTAGTGTGATATGACTGAAAATACAGGAATTGAAGGGTAGCTCTAAATGTTGCTGCTGACAGAAATTGCTTTACCTGCTATGTTGAAAAAAGCGCTGAAATTGACAATGGTGGGAAGTAACGGTGAAAGAAAACAAACTGGGTTTAGTCGAGGAGTACTCTCAAGTATATAGTTCATGTATTTTCACAGTTTTGTTCTGCAGTCCATTTTCAGTGCTCTTTGTATCGACCTCAGTAACAGTAAAATCAGAGAATAAGATCTCTAGAAAAACAGGGAAGAACTATAGTAGGGCCACAAAGCCCCTGTGCCATCAGGATGAGTCTTGGCAAGGACATTCCCAGTTTCTATGATTCCTTTACCTCTCCTATGCTAAGTGTGATGAATAATTCCACTTTGTCATTGTAGAGCCTACAATCACATCAAGGCTGATTTTTGCCATTTCTTCTGTCTTGGAAGACATCAGACTCTCACAGTGGCACAACCCAGTTTTCCTTTGATGTCACAGGCATTAGTGCATGCTAATGTCTGCTGCATTATCACAAGGCCTAGCGCCACACATGAATATGATTTTAAAAAGTATATATTCTTGCTGTTGTAGGATAGCTAAGGCAGCATAACAGCATCAAAGGCAAAGAATTTTTATCAATTAATGCAACTCAGTTTAGGTTTCTAAACTAGTATTTGATATTTTGGGATTAGATTAGTAGTGTTTAAATAGTGTTTTAAAAGTGGTTTAACAGTGTTTTTGAAGGATGGGGAAGACAGTTGCCAAAAGTCTGTCAGGGATGAAGTGGTTTCTTGATGTTGATGTAACTTTTCCTAACAAGTCCAGGTGTTGTGGTGTTGGCTGCAGAGAGTACTGGTGAATTTCCTAACTCCTGAGTAACTTTTCTGCACGTTGCTTCCAAAGTTCAGTAACATGAGTAGCCTCTTAGCCTTGGTACTGCCATATCACCACAAAAATCAAATAATAAATATAACTTAACAAAACCCAAGAGAACTGAAAATGGACTGAATTAATACAGGTGCTTTCATACACACCCCCCCCCATCCTGTTAATAAAATTCTTGCAAAAAGAGCCTGCTTTTAATGATAGCTCTATTTAAATTCAGGAATTGAAGGAAAGGAAATTACTACAATAAAAAAGTTGCCCATTGTGTAAACACTTAAATGTGGAAGGTTAAAATGGCAATTTCTAATACTTGGAATCCCAGCGGCAAAGAATTTTTTAAGATCTTGTGAGGAAACAAAACTTTAAATTTTCCTGAAGTGATATTCTCAGCATGCACGTCTAGAAAACATCTTTGCAAGAACTGCTGTTGGATCTTCACTAATAATTATTATAATGATATGTTAGCTTTGCATTTTGTATATTTAGTCTTCTATTTTGTGTGTAGAAACATACCAGCATTAATAGTAAATTGCAAAGGAATGTCTTGTTTCATCTCTTGATGGTTTGGGTGAAAAGGATGGAAGGGGAATAGGTTTATTAATCTGACTTGGTAAACAGACAGCCCTTCCACTTCATTCTTGATGGTTTGTTTCCTATTATTAAAGAGGGATTTTCAGAAAAATAATATACTCTGGTCTTATAAATTGTTATTATAACCATGTTGGGATTAATCTTTTTTGGTCTTGTCAAACAGAAAGAAATAAATATATATATTTTTTATATAGCTATAAGGCTCTTAGGTTGTCATTCTTCACCCAGTAAATCAATGTGTGGTGTCTTAGAGAATTTCTAGCAAGGCAAGCACAAACAATACTATTGGCAGGGAAGTGAACTTACTCATTCATCTTCACTGAGTGGTCATTCAAAAACATATTATGGCCATGCCAAGGGCTAATTTTTACTGCTCAGAAAGACCCTGTAGGGTTTGGAATTGCATAGGAGGAGTAACCACTGCAGTGTGTGGCAGAACTGCTTGGAACAGGGGGCTCAATTAATGGTGGAGGTTGAATGCTTGCATGTTCATACAAATTTTCAGTGGTTGTCCCTCACACCCAGTATGAACAGGCTGCTGTGCAAGGCTTCTGCATGCTGTGGTGCAGCTTTGTTCTTTGCTTGCCAGAACACCATGAGTTGGGCAATTGCTGTCAGAGCTAAAATTACAGATAATGGCACCTGACCTGTGCAGCTCCTTGTGCAAAACTTGTGGGAGCTTTCAAGATAAAGGTCACACCAGGTAATGGCTCAACAGTTTCCTGTGCTAAGCATGCACACATAGATGTTTCTACATATATAAAAATCAGAAACCATATTTGTTTCTACGTGAATGCCAACCAGAGAGAGTTTCTGTACCCTGGCTCCTTTCAGGTTGTATCTGCCATTGTTTATCATCAGACAATTAATTCCTGAAGCCAACAGTAGAACTTGCAGGGTTTATCATGAGTCATGTCTACCACTAAGGTGTAAAAAAGTTGTTGCTTTTTCAGTTTCCAGGTATCATTACTTCTTGTCAGGTTATGCAAGCATGGTCTTTTTGTTCATACCTCTAAAAGGCACCTACATTCATTTTTTCTCCTCTTACAAAAAAGAAGTTGACGTAAGAAATATTGTGAAATGTCAGTTCTGCAATTCATGCAGCCTTTATTTTTACAATGATTACACTTGATGTAAATTGGATGGCTCAAAGTAGATAATAAAGCTTTTTGATTCTGCTAGTAAAATATCAGGTAGATTACTAATGACCTCGAGGTATTCATCAGTTAAAAGAAGTTGGCTCATTTTCATTCACATATTTATTTTTACAGAAGTGCAATCTAGGCACTCTTTCTGAATACAGAATTCAGGTTTTTTTTTTTTTCTGTAGCAATAAGGAGACCAAAGACTGAGTGTGGGCAGATGGAAATTCTCTGAATGAAGCTGATGGTTTACTGCTAGGACATATCTCTTACTTTGAGGACTTAAAGTACTGTGCTGCTGCCTGTGTTGTGCTAGTCCTGGGGAATTCTGATGTTCAGTTGTCCAGCTCATGCTTGAGCATGGACATCATTACAGAATGATGAGCATTTACATCATTACAGAAACATGAGAAAGTTAAATGAACAAAGCCATTGCAGTAAATGTGTGTCATTCCCTTTTCAGCATGTAGATAAAATCATGAGCAAAATCATATTTTCGTTTCAAGTTCTTAACAAACTTTTAACAACATTTTTAGCCATGTGTAAAATCCCACACCCATATGGACTTGTGTGCTAATGAAGGCCTGGGAACCTCTGCAGTTGCAGATATGCATGAAATGACTTGTTATCCAAGAGCCTCGATTTGTATGCCATGAAATGAACAGATTTGCAATTAATGGTTCAGGATACATTCCTTGTGTTGTATTTGGCAGTACTGAGAGCTGGATATTTTGTTAATTTTTTTTTTTTTTGGACAAATGAGAATGATTGGTATGGAAATACTAAGTATTAAGAAATGCATAGCTTAAGCAGATACAGTTTAAAACCTAATCAGTACAGTAGTTTTCATGCAATTTGCAGGAGTGAAAACACCACAGAGGAGCTGAAGTGTTGCCTGAAGTTAACCAATTTAACTCTCTGGTCAGATTAATTTCTTATGAGAGGTCAAAAAGCTTACTGAGGAAAGAGAGAAAAGGAAAAAGCATATAGGACGTTGAGTTTTTCTTCTTAAAATCTCCTCTGTCTTTCCAGACAGATACTTTTAGATCTTAACTCTGCTTGAGTGTTTGTTTAGGGTATCTGATGTTAAAATTTTCACTTGAGAATTTTAGAAAAGTCAAAAAGTTCAGCAAGTTGTTTGCAAGTTGCACAATAAGTCAATATCCATTTTGTTGACTATTTTTTTTTGTCATGAAAAGTCTAATGTTTAAAAACCTCATTTAACTGAACTGAGATATTCAGAAAATTTTGCACGTGTACAGTATGGGAAGGATTTGATTGTTCTTAGATCCCAATATGGCATAGCTGGGATAGGATCTATTCCTATTTCAGCTGTGTGTGTTGGCTGGAATGTTTCATTAGGATCCTTGGATTTGCCCAACGTGACATTGACACAAAGATGAGGCTGGCCTTGTGTTTGATATGCCCCTTAACATGCTGAACTC